AGTGGAATTGGTCGCGCATGGAACGTTTTGTTTCGTCGGGCGATCAACTTCAATGCGCATTGAGCCCTTAAATTTGTGAATTTTTAGGGTCCCGTACATTAAAAGGAAAAATGGGAACTTTATATTATCACTTTGTTGTTCGTTCATAAAAGTAATATGACCATTTATGTCACATATTTTCATACTCGCAAACTTACTCATCAAAACCGGTCTAGGAGGCAGCACAAGCCAAGGCAAAAGTCCGAAAATCGTTAGTTTGTAGTTATAACAAGTAATTTTTTTTGCGATAACATACTTAGATTTGCAGTTTGAGCATCAACCGTATCATAAACCGATGTATGGAAGACTATTTTTTCCACTTTAAAGTTAAGTTTGTCATTCAATACGATATAAATTTTTTTTTAGAATATTTGTCTTTCAATCCGACATAAATTTTTATTAGAATAATATTCGCAGTCAGTAATTACCGGGATTGCTAAACAACTATCTACATACATTATGCTTACAGTAAGTACAGTATACGTATAAAATTTATACGGAAACCTCAAGACACGAGTCCAATTCGCACATGTCCGGATTTTTTTAGAATTTCGTGCGTCTGTTGAATTAAAAACCATTGTTTTCCATATTGACTTTCAAGTTTTAAGTAAATTAAAAAAAAATATTTTACTTGAACTTGCTTGAAGTTTATTAGGTTATATTTATTTAGGATATAATTTAGGCTGTTATTTTACTATTTTTAAAATACTAGGACACGGGCACAAGTTGTGCGGTTATTTTAACTGACAGTATTTATTTAAACTTTATTGTTAACATCGTAATAAATAGGGTAAGAAAGGACGGACTTAATGCCTGCCGGCATTTTCTGCCAGTCAACTCGTGGAGTGATGAGTTTTTGTGGCTTATATTATATTTAATATGATAATAATAATACATGTAATATACAAAATCTATATATAGTGTACGTTAATATAAAACAAAACATCTTAAATATATAACACTTTACATATCATTAAATACAGAGATATAAAATAATGAACTACAAATTGTACCTATTAAAATTGCAAATAATATAACATTTAAATCAAATAAACATAAGCATTCATATCGTCCAAAATCACCTTATTTGAAGAAGAATTGTTGGCGAACCCAGTGAAATGAGATGGAATGCTAATTTTGTGATTAAATGAGGATCGAAGAACTTTATCATGAGTTGAATAAAGATACCGGAATTTGTCCTTAAGATATGTTGACGTAGTTGGATTTAAAAAAATATTGGTTGGTCTTAGTCTTTAAAAGAAAAAAGTCGAAAGAGAGATCGTAAGGTGGCAAAGACCAAAGACTGCGGCAAATTTCAGTGATACACGCATATGTATTTAGGCATGTTGTCCATACAGGTTAAGATTTTTCTATCGGTATTATTATATCACTGTAATAGGTCCTAGACAAGATTGCTAAATCAATTTTGGACAATATTCGCGAGCTACCTACGAGTATAGTAGTATATACACTTCGATTAACGGATATCCCAGAATGTCCAGACCATTCTTTTACGGCTTCTAAGTTCTGGTTTGACATTCTTATAGCAACATGCAGTTTAAACTTTAATTGCAAGATAAATTTGTCGTCAGCATAAAGATGTAGAGAAAAGTATACCACGAAGTCGGTCAACTCACTCCTTGCCTAGCCTTGTAACTAGTCTGAAACTACGTATATATATATATATAAAATATAAAATCATTTACTAAGCTCGACGTTGTTGACGAGTTTTAACAGTGGTGGAGCCACGCGGCAGCTTTTGCTGTCGCACGGATGGTCCGGCTCAAGCCAGGGTGGTATCACGACCTCACAGAATACCAACGTGAAGTAGAGAGTTAGTTACCTCTGCGTTTCGCTTGGTGAATGCAGGTGGCCGGAGATCCAATCCCCCCCCTGACATGGTAGCGGAATTAAGTGAAGAACTACCCCAGGAGGGTACCAGCACCCCTGGTGACGGAGAATCCCTCGCCGGAGCATCCACGACCAAGTTATCGTACTATTCCGGAGCATGAGTGCTCAGACTGCAGCGCAATTCCAACAAAAGAAAGAACTGCTCGGGGCAAGCGGAGCAACAACACCAAGGCGACCCCTGCCACTATCCGTGAAATTTTGCAATATCAGGGGACTTTATTCCAACCTTAACGCTGCGCTGTGCACTACCATCTGGAGACGGCGAAGCCGGCCATGCTCTTTTTAACCGAGACTCAGGTGTCCTCCAGCTGATACTTCATATCTCTCCTACCCGCGGTAGAAATTAGAACATTCCTTTTGTTGCTGATTCTGTCGCTGATGTCGTTCATCAGGGTATGGAACTTTTTATTCCGTCCTCTGTGGTGCCCATCGGAGCCAGATCCCAGCCATGGTTTGGTCGCTCCTGTAAAATAGCATCACGCTATAGGCAGGAGTGCTACCGGGCCCGGGCTGACGCATCAACGTCTTGGGATGTAAACACCAGCGCTCTTAAAAAGAAGTATAATTTCGCCTGCAGGTCCTTCAAAAGAGTCATTGCCAAGGCAAGGTCTGACACAGCAGCACATCGGCAGAATTGGCGAGAAGCTAGTTCGCCTTCCTTCGGGAACCGTGCATTCTCGTCTCTCTCCCCAAGGCTGTCCAAGGGAACTTCTGTCAGTTATCTCTTCCATCTCTGCACAGTGAGGATGACACACTGGCCCATGCCGCAAAGGAGATAGTCGATCTATTAGACTCTCTCTTTGCGTCCAACTCAACTCTCGATGACGGGGGGAACACACCACCAACCATCCCGCGGTGTGAGTGTTCCATGCCGGATGTGCGGTTTACACAGCGCTCGGTTCGCAAAGCACTCTTCTCCCTGGACGTCGGTAAGTCGAGTGGGCCTGATGGAGTCCCTCCCATTGTGCTGAAGACGTGCGCTCCGGAGTTGACACCGATTTTAACGCGTCTTTTCCGGTACTCCTACTCCCAAGGCGTAGTCCCGAATACTTGGAAGATAGCTTTGGTTCACCCGATCCGTCCACTTACAGGCCTATCGCCGTCACCTCCTTGTTCTCCAAAATAATGGAGTCTATTTATACTGCCAGCTCACGAGGTACCTTGAGGATCACCAACCTTATCACCTTGTTTACAACCGGTGACTTTTCCGGACCGATACGACTTAGGGACTTTCAAGAAAAGAGATTACTCCTTTCTAAAAGGCCAGCAACGCATCTGCAATACCCCTGGTGGTGCAGCTGTTCATGGGCGGTGGTAGTCACCGACGGGTGAGCCACATGCTCGTTTGCCCCCTCTTCTATAAAAAAACGAGTATAGTAGTATCTGGGACAAATAGTCCGACTAGGTAAGTCCTACTTCGACCGAGGACAATTGACGGATTCAACTCTTACTCTACTTCAAACCTTGAAAACGATTGTACAACCAGTGCGTGTTGCCAGTGATGACTCATGGATTTAAGACGTGAACCTTCACTGCTGGCCGTATGAGGAAGCTCAAGGTCGCTCAGCGAGCTTTGGAGAAGGCTATGCTCGAAGTTTTTTTTGCGTGATAAAATTAGAAATGAGGATATCCGCAGTAGAACCAGAGTGACCGACATAGCCCACGGATTAGTATGATGAAATGGCAATGAGCTGGCCATATATGATGAGGATGAGGAAAAACGGTTCTCGAGTAGTATCCTCGTACCGGTAGGCGAGGTGTAGGGTGATCGTCCACTAGATGGAGTGACGACCTGATAAGACATGCAGGAAGTCGATGGATGCAGGTGGCTTAGGACCGTGCTTTGTGGCATTCTTTAGGGAAGGCCTATGTTCAGCAGTGGACTTTAATCCTTAAGGAAGGACTGTAATGATGATTATGATGATATTTGAAAAACATAGTCAAGTCGAGAGCCTTAATTCTTCGATATGCTTTGCCTTGGCACTTCTTTGAAGTCGGCTTTTATTTTTTATTAAAAGTTAATTTCTTTTTAAAAATACATCGGTCACCAGTCTCTCTCATAGCTGGAATGTAGTTATGACAATTTTTATAAAATAGTTGTTTTTTTTTTCGTTTTACATATAAAAATATAATAAAGTAGTAGGTACATACGAGAAAACTTAAAGAAGTTTGTCGTAAAATTATTTTCACAGAAATAACTCGCCCGCTTTATTAGTGTGCACACAAATAAACACATAACGTTTGTATACACAAATAAACTTTTATATAAATGCTATTTTATTTTTAGCGTTCTCTAGGAAATAAAAAGTAATGTCTGATTGAATAATAAAAGAAAGCTAAACCCAGATTGTGTACGACTACTTTTCGTTCTTCCGTTTACATACGAAATTAATATCAAGTTGACAATATTATTACTGTTAGATTCCATTCTTACAGTAGCAAGTGTTTTTTTCTTGCTTTGACACACTTTTCTTTTACCAAAGATTACGCGATGTTGATGTAACAGAAAATGGACCATTTTTTACTTAGTTGTATAAGTTTGTGAATGTCGTTCAACTTTAAACTAAATTTGTAATTAGTTTATTGATAATGTTGTTATTTATTAGAAGCAACAATAGCTTAATAAATGGCAGGGTGCGAATCGCGAACTTAAATGGTCGTGGCAACTGTGGCATCAAGCATTTTAAGCTAACCACGAGTGTTTACAAGGATTATTAGTAATGATTATAACACTATTAGTATTTTTATTGAAAAAAAATCTGGTTTATATTAATGAAGACAAAATAATTTTACCTATAAATTAACGTGTATTTTACTTTTATATTAAGGCAGGTAATAGTTTATTCGATGAATAACTTATCTGGCCATTAAAAAATCGGCCCTTAGTAGCAAGGATTTATGTAAGATATTGTTTACCGCCATCTATATGTTTTTTGCCACAATATGTTTTTGGAATCTAAGGGTCTGTGAAGGAGAAAGGAGGGAAATTGATTTATTTTTGCTTTTTTATGTGTACAATACTAACCAAATTTACCATTTTTGTTTTACAGGGTCTTTTTGCTGTAGTTACGGTTACGGCAATAAGAGTTCCAGTAAATGAGGTATCAGAAGAAAAGGATGGCGCTTCCGCACTAATCCCTTCTGAAGAGGGGCCTAGTGAGCCGAAATACTACACCCCGGATGACATTAAATTAGAAACTTATCTATTACCTCCCGAAACTCAAAGATATCAGGAGGTAATATTAGACGTTTTAGCGTCGCCAGCATCATACTTGCTGCCTCCAGCAATAGGTAAGCAATCAGACTACCATTACGAAGGGACAAGCACAGGTCAGCAGAGTGATTGGTATCCAGTAACACAAATATCCCAGACTTCTGACGTAGAACCGATAATACTACCAGAATTGAACGAAACGGAAGCAATTAAAATATTAGAGTACATGAGAAATGGTAAAGTTCTTCATAACGACCGCTTTTCTTTGCCGACACCCTCAACAGCATTACAACCGCCTGCTCCTGATGCACCTAATGATTACATAGTTTTAAACACGTCCGAAGAGCTTGAATTGCCTGCAAATAATAATCCGAGATTGAAAATACGTCAAAACGTTGACAAACGACGACCTATTTATTATAATGTGGATCAAAGCAGATTCAATCCCAATCTACAGTCTATTTATAAGCAAAAATTGATAAAGGAAGCACCGACGCAAATCATGAATTTCCATAAATCAATGCCGCCGCAGTACAAAAAGCCGACAAAATTGTATCCCAAAAAGTACGTCGAAGGTTTTAAGCCGATCCCTATTCCTGTATCTCAGTTCGCTGATGAAATCTCTGATGAAATCCCAAGGGCAAGACCGCTACAGCCTTTCCATCCAATTTTGAGTGTAAAAGGTGAAAATCAGTTAACTTCCGATGAAAATAAAGCTTATTACGAGCAGTACAAAAAGAAACATGTCATACAATATGATAATTCGGCTGAAAAGGTAACAAGTAAATTTCAATAACGTTGTAATGAATTACATAATGGTTTTATAATATTTTATAAATATATTACTATATTTAATAATTAACAATTTATTTACTCCGACAGCAACATATTTTAACGGAGAACCCTGATGATGATACGAAATCATCTACAGAAGAACAACAAACATCCGCAAGCCATTTGAGGAATCCTGAACGTAAGTAGGTTTAAAACATCATTAGGAATTAAAACACACGATGAATTCAATTTTTTTATATTTATCCAGCAGTGGTGCATCCTTTTTTACTGAATAGTAGAACAGGTATATTTACAGGCCTTGAGAAATTACATCTTACCTAGTCTTCAGAGGTGATGAAGTATCTGCCGTTTTCTTCTGATATCTCTATTAGAAACTTACAAGCAGCTGGACTGTTAGCCCGTTTGTCAAACTGATATAATAACTAACAAAAGTGCAAAAATTAATAGAACGGCCGTTAAATATTTGACTGGGTTTGTTGGTCTAATGGTCCTAAGCGCGTCTGCTGAACATGTGGTTCCGGTTTCCAAAATCAGGTATTATGGCAGTCCGAGTGAGGAAAATAGCGCTGTTTCATCTCCGTGTCTTGGAAAGCAGTTGGTCCAGAGCTTCAAACTAAATTCTATGATAGAGATAAGACAATAATAAAATTTATCTACACTTTTTGACGATAATTGTCCTGCCTTCTTTCGATGGGGCAAAATCTTTATAATATTAATGATGAAATTTTATAACAGGGTTTGTTATAGTACCTATCTACCACAAGTTTACGCATAAACACAAAAGTACTTGATTTATATTCCTGTATTCGATGAAAGCTTTAAACTCATTTTATTAACCGACTTCAAAAAGATGGAGGTTGTCAATTCGAGTGTGTTTTTGTATGTTACTCGATATCTTCACAGATTGTAAACCAATTTTGATCATGCTTTTTTACTAAATAGGTTATACTAATCTCATATAAATTTGGAGAAAACCAGACCTAAGAGTAGCAAATAAATAACTTCTTTTTTAGCAATTTGAAGTCGGTTTTCATTTTGTTTTAAGAGTCATAAATATCAGTTTATCAATTTTAAAGACAGTTAATATTTAAATGATTGCCGTATGGTGGTAGCGTAAGAGAATCACCCCATTTCGTCCCGGTGGGTGTGGCATGAGTCGACTATGTGAAATTCTAATAAGGTCTCATGGCTCCAGATAGCCGGCGGTATATTCATCTCGTTTACATCATACGCAAAATACGCAGACCGGTGCCTAACAGGCGTGGCAAATACTCCCTTCAAAGGAAGAGGCCAATGTCTAGTATGCAGACTGCGGCCCCAGTATTGGGCTTATACGGGCTGATGATGAAGATGGTACAAATATTGGCTACGGAAAGTATTCGAATCTGAGTTGGGACATTGCAATTATTAATTTGCAGTTGAGCATACAAAAAGAATGTGCTGATGTTATTTTAGAGATTTCTGATAATGTTATTCAATTACAAGTCAAGATTTTTTTTTCAGTTTGCCGTAAGCAAGGCAATATTTTAAAAATGAAAAAGAACGTGACTCAACTTGATTGCGGATCGAAGTTTATTCGAAAAAAATCGTTTCGACGCAATGACTCGTGTTTAGCGAGCAACAGTTGATTACGAATAAAGTATATTTTGTCATAGTTCTGCTAAAACATCAACACAGATCAAAGTACTCGTATGTTGTGCGATTACTGTATAACCTTACTTGCTTATGCATACTCTTAGGTTAAAACAGACGGATATCATGAGGAAGCGAAATTGTATTAAGAGCAAACGGCGTAGTGAGCGTTATTACGTAGTCGATGACGTGATTTTAGTATTGGTGATATAATTCTTCCAGGTAACGTTTACCATGCGCCGCTCCGGCAAGAGCCGCAACGACCAGTTGAATATGCTCCACCGCCAGCCGGTGAACGGACAGAATTTCGTATGCACGGCATGAAAGGTCCACACAGCTACCAGTTTGGATTCGATACTGGCAAAGGGTAATAATACTTTTTCAATACCTTGGGGACCTCAACGTTAATGAAAAATCGACAGAATTCTGCTCCGCTTCTTAATTTGACAATTATATTTGTTCGTGCAATTTAATCACAAAGGTTTTTTCCCTTTTGTCACAAAGTCATTACAAAACATATACAATATTATTACATTACCTTATAATTTTTTATAACATTGGGTGACTAACGAGTACACAGTCCACCTGATGGTAAGTGGATGCTGTGGCCTATAGACATCCACATTTATCTTCAATTAAGAATCAAAATGCAAATACGTTGTCACCCCTGAGGATTAAGATGGAATGCTACATTTCCAGTAAAATGGGTCTCCGGTTCTCCACACTCACCATACGAAACAACAGTATTAAGCTGCTATTTACGCTGGTACTCTGTGAGAGCGTGGTCTTGCCCCGGTCAAGCCGACTCATTCGTGCTACAACTGTAATATAGCTGCAGCGTGGCTCTACCACGTATAAAAACGAGTGCCAAACAAATACATTTAGATTAGCTTTTTTTAAACATTTAGATTACAAGGGGCGTTCAATGTATTCTAGGTACGGGTATGTTAGAAAAAAGATAAAATTATGAAACATTTTTTATTTGTCAATATAGTCTCCCATAACATCAACACATTCACTTGTTTGTGCAAAAAATTTTCTTTCCCTTGAAAAAGTATTCTTCGTTTTGACCTGAAAAATCCTAATTTACAGCGGACTTGAGCTCATTATCGTCAGTAAATGTTTTCCCCGAAGTTCTTTTTTAAGTTTGGGAATATAAAGTAGTCACTAGGGGAACCGGTGCGTTGTCATGAAGGAGCAGCACTTTCTTGGTCAACGCCTGCTTAAGCACAGTGAACATTTGCGTTTTGAGTTTTTCTTGTTTAGTGTGGAATTTGACCACTGCACGGTTTTTTTTCGACATTGTGAAGTCAGTTATTCCCGTCGTCTATGACTGAAGGTTACTTAAAAAGTAATGAAGGTATCAAGACGAAATTTCATATTAATTTATAACCTCAGGTAGTGTCGTTAGCTAATGGTTTTTTAATTACCCACATTATTAACAAATCTGTTAATTCATTGAATCAGTAATAAATTGAACGCCTCTCGTATTTCAATTAAGCTTGTTGAAAGGTTTACCCATGTTAGTTGAATCTGATTAGTAAATTTATATTGTGGGCAACTGAAAAGCAATATTAACAACAACAGTGTAGCGAAGCTTAAAAATAGGTAACTAAATCAAAATTGATAAACATATATTTTTAAGGGACTAACAATCAACACATTATAGAGGTTACCGAATATATAATAGCTTAACATTAAGTATTTATCTAAATAACTTTTAATGATAGTTCGTTTAAGAATTTGTATGGAGCTACTAAAGAGATCGAGATTTACGAATTCCTTATTATATAATTTTAACGACCTGGAGGTGGGGCCATTTTGTGTATATCTTTTTCGAAGTGTAGGTGGTACGAATGTCTGAAAAACGCGTTGGTGGCGAGCGGACAGACGAAATTTACTTTTAATGTTTGCCAAGTAATACATTTTATAATGTTATATAAGAAAATTACGTAAAAATATTTACTATTTATGAAGGGAGTCAATATACGGTTCGCCATAACGGTTGCAACGGTAGTTTAAAATCTTAATAAATATTTTTTGGACCGTTTCAATGTATCAATGTGGTTTTTGTAAAAAGGACACCATACAATACAGACGAAGTCAACAAGATAAATAAAAGATTCGAAGTCTTATTGAATGGTTTAGTTATTCTACTTACGAAACCGAGGCTTCTTAAAGCTCTTTTTATAGATAAATCTATGTGGTTGTTGAAAAAGACCTGATCGTCCATGTTGATGCGCAAGTTTTAAATTTTTTGTTTACCATAAAAATAAATTTTTAGAGCAACGTAGTTGAGAGCTATGGTCCTCTATGAAAATATTTTATTTATTTTCATTTTAAAAAGAAAGGGATTAGATAAGGGTGCTGAAAAAAATCATGAATACAGATCACTAGAAATCAATCAGAAACACGGACTGTGTTTTTGCCTAGAAGTCCGTCTGGGGAGCTCATACTCGTAGTTCTAAAATGCAATGATAAACAGCGTTAAGATAAGATGATTTATTTGTCAGAATATGGTACATTACTGTTGTTACAAAAGAATTTCGATCCTAAATATTCTGCCGTTTCCGGCGTACAAATATTTTCAGATAGATAATTTTTCGAATAAAGAAAAAAAAATAAGACATTAAATATTATATAGTATAAAGATACTTACAGCAATACTTATGGAAATTAAATCTATATAAAACAATCATCAATCAATTCATATTTTTAGTTAAAACATTTCAAAAAATTAAATTCAGCAATGCAATAAATACAATTCGAATCAAATTTATCATTTAAGAAGTCATTTATTGAGTAATAACATTTATCTAAAAGAAATTGAAACAATTTAATATCATCCTATATTCATCTTTTTGAAACAAACGGGCAATTTGTTGTAAACATGTATTGCCATACAATATACATTTTTTGAATAGAGTTGTAATCTTTGCTTCGGTACACACAATTTATGTATATTTCTACTAGTCCTAATTACAACATCGTTGTGTTTTTCTAATAAATTACTATTTTTGTGAAGACAGATTTCGTAAACGTATAATGCTGGAAGCGGCAATATTTTATGTTTGCGAAAAAGGGGAATACGTTCATTTCACTCTACCTAATAAGTAATGAGATTGTCTCTTATGACATTGACATTTTATGTAGACTAATTCAAACTTCGAATATATAAAAATTAATGTTTGTTTGTTCGTATTTTATGCGCTGCCATACCGTTCATCAGATTGAGTTAATACTTTGTCACTTACTGCTTGTACTTGCGTGGTTATAAGCATAGTGCAATTAAATTATAGTAGGCAGTAGGTAGACAAAATTATTTGAAAGTTATGAATCTTTCAACTTCAATGAACGCATTATCATTCCTAATCAAACAATATGATTCTAAACTTAAAACAATATTTCCCACAATTATTTATTCTAAGGCAGCAACGCACCGAGTACCAGCTAGTTGTATATAAAATATATTTATTTAATAAATCTAAGCAGCGACCATTTTTTTCATACTATAGAAATATGTTTAAGAGCCGCGTACTCGCCTGCCCATTCTTCTGTAAAAATATAATACTAGTACTGAAATAGATTTTGATCTATAAAGTTGTTTTCCCCGCTTAATTGGAGTTGAAATTGTTCTATTGTAAATAAATGTCACAACTTCGCAAAAAAGGAAATAAGTTTAAGGTAGGTATGGCGACGATCACAAATAATCTGCAGTAGAAGCCTATTATCCCGTGACAGTCCGTTGTGTATAGACAGGCGATATTCTGGAGGAGTAGGTAGTGTACTACATCAATTGACAAGTCTTGGTTCTAAATTGTCGCTTGATAATAATATATTATTTGATATTATATTGATAAATAACATAATATACCTATTCTTGCAGTAATTGTTATTGAGAAACTTATATAACTTGAGAAATTGTAATAATAACTCTTTTTACAAGTGAATATATCATACAATCGCTAGCAGCAGCCTTTTGACTCATTTTGTAGGAGCATAGTTTGGCTGTCTAGCTTGGATTATTACGACCGTCACCGATCATTCAGAATCCACTTATTATCACATCTGAAAATCCGTATCCTCATTTGTGTCTCGACTCGTCAAATTAAGCCAAGCTTCGACATATACCTATGCTTACCCACATTCCCGTTTTTTTTATTTAGCTACTTTAACATAAATTTCTAATTCTATTTCTTTTTAATGATTTATTTATTCAATGATGTAATTAAAGTTTTTTTTGTCTTATAATCCTTTCATTTACTAAATAATCAATGCATGTTGTGATTACCTATAAAAAGAAATGCAATTATAATGCGCTTAATTTGTTATGAAAATGATCTTTGTATTACTGTTGTAATTTCTGTTGGTAATCCTAATAAATAAATAAATGAGTTTTTAACGTTCAGTCCAGTGTCGGTTATGTACGTTGAAAACTGTTAATAACTCTGACACTGTTTTAGTTGAATTCTTTCATAGCTTAAAATTCCTTAAGTCTTTTGTTGCCAACTCGGTTCCTTATTAAGGACGGATTTTCCAAGACAGAAGCCATCAAATAAAAAATGCAGGAAATTGTGATGTCAAAACTATTTTTTAGGAAATAACATTGCCTAAAAAATAGTTATTAGGCAATGGGTGCGTTTGGCAGAAAAAAGCGCTAGCAAGCGTTTGTAAGCAAAATGGCGATAGTAAACAGTAAGCGCTGTCAAATCGTAAGTAGCTATTTTCCTCCAGGACACGATGTTAGTTTTAACCGGGGAATCTAATCTAATTTAAATATATGTTTGTAAAGTATTCATATTAAAAACTTACAAATCATGAATTTTTAATAGCATGTATATGTTTATTCATGTAATTATATTACTTAAAACTAATATTGCACAAAACAACTTATAAACTCTACTTCAAAACAAACAAATTAAATAAGCAAAATGGCGGATTGTGTCAGCGCTACTGAAGTAGCAATCGTGTCCTGGCCGAAAACTATTTTAGCGCTTATAAGCGCTTGCTAGCGCTTTTTTCTGCCAAACGCACCCAATGTCATAGCTTTAAAATCACATTCGTTTAAATTTAGAATTCCAAATCGAGCACAAGATATCACAAACTACCCCGCATTAGAAAACGATAATTTAGTAGGTTAAGAATAATAACACAATGAAAACTCCTGAACAATACTGCTCAACTTTGTGTAGAAAAAAGATACTAAAAACTTTTGTTGTAATACTCAATAAATACTTATTATTTCAGCAAAAATCGACAATTTCGGTACGAGGAACGCGATAATGACGGTCATGTTCGGGGTCATTACGGCTATATGGACAGAAATGGCAAGTTGAGAGTCGTAAACTACGACGCTGATCCGGAGCACGGTTTTCGAGCAGAAACGCCCGTAGAAAAAGATCAGTGAATCTTGGACAAGAATAAAGACATTGAATTTTATTGTGGATAAAACGTGAACTTTTGAAGTAAAATACTTACGCCGGTACACTGTAAATACTATATAGAATGATTAGGGATGGAAAAATGGACCTCGTAACAAAAAAATGTTATGTCGTTTCATTCTTGGATAAGTAACATTACACGTTTAGTTTAATTTTTTATTAAGTAACATTAATAAAAAATTAAACTAAACGTGTAATGTAAAACAAATATTTGTCAATCAGCAACTGAAGAAATAGGGCCGATAAACCCCGGTTTAAAAGTTAAGCCGTTAAAAGCTTTGGCTGTGTTATATATTGAACAAAGTTTTGGGTCTACGCTTACGTTAAATTATTAAGTGTTAAAACGATAAATCGTTTTGTTGCCGTGTTATGTAAATAATGTTATTAATAAACGTGTCTAGCATACGTAAATACTTGTTATGTACAATAAGATATTTAGGTACGATGCTTTACTATAAAATATATGACAAATTCTGTATAAAATTTAAATAGGCGTTATTTTCCCATAAGAATGTTACCTTGCTTGTTAAAATTTATTGCTCAATTTGTCTTTCAATTTCAACGTTTATTACATTGGCAAGTACAAAATGTTCTGTGTGCAATTATGAACGCTAGAGCGAGCTTTTTTTCGTAAAGCCAAAGTATTCTTACAATTAAATGAACATTTCACAGTCGTAGCACATGAAAAGACTAACTCAGACCTTAAAGTGTTTTATAGCAAAGGAATTAGAAAAGAAAATTAAAAAGGCAAGAATGCACTTAATATTGTATCTACAATTTAATTATTGTGAATTATGTAATACACTAGAAAGTTATAATATAAAAGTTACCTATTTTATATTTTTATACAGTGTATTTTCTGTTACATGTTGTGTAAAAAACTTAAGATCTTAAAAATAAAGTGGAAATAAATGCTTAAATATAAACTCATTGTGTTTAAATTTAAAGAAAAAATGTTAATAAAAGTAAGTTTATTTTATTCTAACGTAACAAAATTGTAACAATCAACATAAAATTAATATCACATTAAATTCAAATGCGGTTTAAATTACCTAACCATAGCAGCTTAATGCTGCTGTTTCTATGGTAAGTTTGGAGATTCGGAGACCTTTTTTACCGGTGACGAGGCATTCTAAGTTAGTCATCAGAGGTTCGTTCTTAATCGAGGCTAAAGGAGGGTGTCTATGAGATACGAGCAACGAAAGGACTGTGCTCGTTCGACGTACTTATTCCATGAAAAGTTCGCGAACATGTGTACGCTTATCACAATAGAGTAGGGCGGCGGACTCCCCTGCTTTTTTTCATTGGTGAGAAGGCTGTAGACTATTAATTTTCAATTGTTTACATTAGTATTGAATATCATTTTTAATCGTTCTATCATTTTACACATTGTAACTTCCGCTAACGTATAAAGTCCGCCAATCAGAACAACATGGCAAGCTAATTACTATTACTGTATAAATATCTTAGAAGTAAGACGCCTGTGACCAGCAGTAAGATGTATCATTTATTTTTACTTTTATATTTCGGTTATCGAATCTGCAAGTTTAGAAACAATAAAGTTGATAAGCAGAAGATCTATTGCAGGATATAAGCAATTTTTGAAGCTGAACGCACGTTTGTCGGCACTGTATCTACGCGCCGCATTTTCGAATGGTCTCGCACATTTACACGTAAGCGCCGTACGTATTTTTTTTTGTATTGCAAATATTTTTGCAGTTTTTTCCAACCACTCGTGTGAAACGGTTCAGTGACATTGATCGCGTGGAATCGCTCGGATCGCTGTGCAAAAAATTGTTGTAATAGCCTGCTTGGCACAGGAAGAAGAAAATAAAATTCGAAGAAAAAGAAGATTTTAGATTCAAAATATTAATTTAAAAAGTCAGTTGTAAGGAGAATATTATATTTTATTTAAGTAATATTAGATGATGATTGATTTTTCAAATATTTACATGTAATGTAGGTAAAAGAAATTTCAAGAATTGCTACATATACTAAAACTCTCTCTTTCTCTATGGATAACTTAAGATTTAGAAGGCCAATTGAACCAGAGGAGACTTGTTGTATGTTTGAGATAAGTATTTTTATTGAGGGCCTAGACAAGTGGCAATCGCTTCGTGTCTATTCCATTTCTTAAACCGATTTCGTCTCAGCGATATCGAACTGCTAATTGCTAGACAATGTCCAATCGCGCAACGAATTGATAAAGAAAACTAATAACACGAACGATATTATCTCAATGTGTAGACAAGTGGCACTTTTGACATTCGAAATCGCTGAGAAGTCGAACCGTTCATTCGACAACTTAGCGAACGCTTGAACCCTTTAGAAAAGCATAGCTGATTGTTAGTTTGTTAGTCAGCTGTTGGTATTGTTTGCATCAATTCGTGATTGTTTCTCGTTTTTCGTAGTTGTTTTTTTTTTTTTGATAAATAATTAAATAATAATATATAATTGAATCTAGGTACATAGATTTATACCTAATGAAAATAAAATAGTTAAAATAAAAATAAAATAGCCTTTTATTTCCAAAATCAAAACTATAACTAAATTTTCTTTTTTAACAATTTTTTTACCTTATACATTTAGTAATAACATTATCAATTAGAAACTACTGTAACACATTATCACATTTTAAATGAAGTAATTAATGAATACATTTTTGATATTACATCTTATACAAATTAATTAGAAAAATTACCTTTACTTATTTAATTTATTATTATTAAATATTTAAATTAATTAAAACAAGACTTAGCATTAGGAAACTATTAACATAACAATATATTTATTATATAAAGTCCTTGATTCAGGAATGTCTATTGACAAAGGCCTCCTCCTGACTTAATCCATCCGGTGATTTCCAAATCCATTTGGTTATGTCGTTCTTTCTGTAGAGGCACAGTTAAATTAGCTCCTAGCATGAAATCATTCATTCTTTGCCAATTCTTGCTTCTCTTACCGTTACCGAAATTACCAACAACATTATCTTTGCCACTACTTATTCCAACCATAAGCATTAAAGTCACCTATTACTATGATATGGTTATTTTTTACTTTATTTATTGTTTCGCCGATGGTATGTTAGAAGTGTTCTAAATCACTAGGGTTAGTTTGCTCTATAGGGACATACGTAGGCGGTCCCATAATGAATTGGCCTAACTATGAACCAATGAAGGAAATGAAACGAATCCAATTTTATTTTTTAATATAATCACCATGAATACTAACACACTTCTGACATCTGTGAATCAACATCTCTAAACCTTTATAAAAATAATCACATTTTTTATCCTCAAAATGACTGAAGACCGCCGCCTGGAACTCTTCATCGCTTGAAAATTTTCTTCCTCTTAAGTCCCGCTTTAAATTTGGAAATAAATAATAGTCGGACGGGGCCATGTCTGGACTGTAAGGTGGATGTTGAACTTCTGTGAACCCGCATTGACGAACTGCATCCTTCGAAACATCAGCGGTATGAACAGGGGCGTTGTCATGGAGCAACAGAACACCTTTAGACAGCTTGTCTCTTTGTTTTTCCTTTATCTTGTCTCGTAATTTATATATTAAAGAAGCATACTATTCGCCGTTCACGACTGTATTACGTTCTTTAAAATCCACCATCAAAATGCCTTGAAAATCCCAAAATATTGTGCACATCAGTTTTTTAGTCGATTGTTGCACCTTTGCCTTTCTAGGGGGCTATTTACCCTTATAACGCCATTCCATTGACTCGCGCTTGCTTTGTGGATCATAATAAAAGATCATAGTTTCATCACCAGTCACTAGCCGCTCGATCACAGTCTTTGGATTTTCGCCACAAAGATCCAAAAACTCCGAAGCGCAGCGCACTCTTTCCTGTCTCTGTACCGCTGAAAGAAGTTTCGGTACCCATCTTGCACTCACTTTTTTCATGTGAAGATGTTCATGGATCGCGCGATGAACGGTACTCTTAGAGAGCCCAAGCCTTGCTGCTTTTTCTTCTATTTAATCTAATTTCTATCTAATTTCTCTAATCTTCAAACGGCGGTCACTCAGAACCTCCTCTTCGATAAGAGCAATCGTTTCGGGAGTGAGCACTTCCACAGGTCGACCGTCGTGGCCAAAGTCTTCGACGGTTTCTCTCCCGAGGCGAAACTCTTTCACCCAATTTTTCACTGTGCTATAGGAGGGGGCAGACTCCTTATACACGCTATCCAATCGTTCTTTTATTTGGGCAGGGGATAAACCTTCTTTAAACAGAAACTTTATGACACTTCGATACTCGGTTTTCGACATTTTGAAAAATAAGCGACTCTCGTTATTCAAATGCCTGTTAAACTAAGACTAAGCATTTCATGTCGATGCATGTTTCTTATATTAAGTGCACGATAAACGTACTATTTAATGCAACACAACATGTAGCGACATGTTGTGTTGAACTATATCAGGCCAGTTCATTATGGGACCGCCTGGTATATTTGTATGATTGTCCAATCCTTGCTATCACCAGGTAATGTCATATTAACATAGGCTGTACGGTCTGATATCCTCTGAACTCCTTTATTTGGTTCTTCAGTGAGGCTTTAATTAGGAGGTTTTAACATAAACTTAACTATATACTAAATAAATGACAATATTAAACTTTTAATAAACTAAACACACTATCAGTACTAAATTTAAAAATCTTTAAAACAGTTGAAAATAAAGTATTTCTAACATAATGTTAAAGTAGTTTTACAGACGAATTTCAATAGTAGTCGATATCTAAGCGTGAGGTCGCGGATTCGATCCCCGGGTCAGGCAGTATTATTGGATTTTTCCATTATAAATTTCTCAGTAGCTGCTTGGAGTCTCAATTAAAAAAAGTCCAATTAGTACTAAATTTATTTTTTTTAAAGCAGTTGAACATAAAGTATTTCTAACATTATGATAAAGTAGCTTTTACAGACGAATTTCAATAGTAGCCGATATCTAAGCGTGAGGTCGCTGGTTTGATTCCCGGGTCGGGCAGTGTTATTGGGTTTTTTCATTAGAAATTTCTCAGTAGCAGCTTGGAGTCTGAATTTAAAAAAGACCAATTCGTACTCAATTTAAAAAATGTTAAAGCAGTTAAAAATAAAGTATTTCTAACATAATGTTAAAGTAGTTTTACAGACGAATTTCAATAGTACTCGATATCTAAGCGTGAGGTCGCGGATTCGATCCCCGGGTCAGGCAGTATTGTTGGATTTTTTCCATTATAAATTTCTCAGTAGCTGCTTGGAGTCTGAATTAAAAAAAAGTCCAATTAGTACTAAATTTAATTTTTTTTAAAGCAGTTTAAAATAAAGTATTTCTAACATTATGTTAAAGTACTTTTTATAGATGAATTTCAATAGTAGCCGATATCTAAGCGTGAGGTCGCTGGTTTGATTCCCGGGTCTCGCAGTGTTATTGGGTTTTTTCATTAGAAATTTCTCAGTAGCAGCTTGGAGACTGAATTTAAAAAAGAACAATTAGTACTCAATTTAAAAAATGTTAAAGCAGTTAAAAATAAAGTATTTCTAACATAATGTTAAAGTAGTTTTACAGACGAATTTCAATAGTAGTCGATATCTAAGCGTGAGGTCGCGGATTCGATCCCCGGGTCAGGCAGTATTATTAGATTTTTCCATTATAAATTTCTCAGTAGCTGCTTGGAATCTGAATTAAAAAATAGTCCAATTAGTACTAAATAAAATTTTTTAAAGCAGTTGAAAATAAAGTATTTCTAACAATATTTTTAAATAGTTTTTACAGACGAATTTCAATAGTATCCGATATCTAAGCGTGATGTCGCTAGTTTGATTCCCGGGTCGGGCAGTGTTATTGGGTTTTTTTCATTAGAAATTTCTCAGTAGCAGCTTGGAGTCTGAATTTGTGTCCGGTTAACGGCAATAGGCTCACCAGCTGTTACATGATACTTGTAACATAATTGGCGAAATGTGGGTGTACAATACAACTCTGCCTAACCCTCCGTGGAATACAGACGTCATGAATTCGTACGTCGTAGAACTGTTCTCGGTGCGCATTCGCCAGTCGCAAGGCTTTGAAAGTCTTTAATGAATGTAGTGAAGTCGTTGATGTTAATTTTGATTCCATATATCAGTTTTATAAGAATTTATGTAAGTACTACAAACATTGTGAAAGTACAGATCGTGTACCAAATTGTTAATAATTAATGTAAAACACGCACGCACGCACTCACACTCACCACACTCACACACTCACACACACACACACACACACACACACACACACACACACACACACACACACACACACACACACACACACACACACACACACACACACACACAACACACACAAACACACACAAACACACACAAACACACACAAACACACACTCACGCACACGCACGCGTTCATACAATATCAAATTACTTAAAATAAGAATTCCTTAGATAAATAGTACTAAAATATAAATTGATAGCATGTTGTGATTACCTTTAAGTGATTGTACATTTAGAAATAACGAAACCGTAAATTTTAATTAACGGTGTAATAATGTATCAATCGTTGGTAATTCTAATAAAGAGAAAAAAAATTATGTACCTATGGAGTATGATCTGATTGCTCCGTATTATCTTTACTTCGATAGTGGTCAAACCATGCTTGTGTTATGTCAGCAAACATGGGTAACACTTGGTTACGCTCATCGTCAACCTCTATCCTTCGAGCCTCCAGATCATACAGCTGCCTGTCTCGTTTCTCCTCCTGCCGAAGACGTAGATTTTCGATGGCAACGAACTCGCTCGTCGCTCTATCGAATGGCGTGAGTGTACGCCTCCGGCGCGCCCTTAATGTTCTTCGTGCAGGGGAAACCGTTACCCCAGATCTCGGGATTAATGGCAACCGTCGCCTGCTGGTTGGCGGAGGGGTAGAAGGTGCAGGTTGCACCCTTGAACTCCTTCTCGCAGATTGATTGCATAAAGTTGATTTCCGTGTGGGGGTGTTTATGTGCAGTGGCTGCCAGCTAGCAGATGGCGTAGGAGTAGCAGGCGCGGGCGATAAAGCCACAGATTCTTTAAAAAAGTGAACTTGAATTCAAATAACTGGTTAATAAAGTATTTATAAAAAATTTAGATGTAGATAGATAGACACGTCAAAATAGCATCTTTTTAATTAGGGCCTGTGTTGGCGGTGGGATGAGTTGTGATAGTCCCTGCAAAAAATACTTGAAATCTTCATTTAAGTTGTACCTAACCATAATATATCATATAAAAAAAACCTTTAGTGATATTACTCATTTAATTATATGAGTAGGTACATGTTTTAAATATTCAAGTGATCAGTTAACACTGAATTTTAAATGAAGTAGTGCAATACTTACGAAGCCTTGTTCCTGAATGCTGGACTGACCACAGTCAATTTTCCCATTAGAGTCAACACCCTCTCCTCAAAAGTCGTGAGGGTTTGTCGACTACTTATATCACTCGCATCTCGCACTATATGCGTTCACTTAACACCTCTCACTCGCACGCCCTTAGCCGCTTTCCCCTCGCCTGTCAAGGTCTTATGCTATCCAAAACCGCATGTCATTTTACATATTTATCTTTTATGAACTATAATTAGGTCGGCATGCCCATAAAGTATGACATTGACAGGTACTGTCTGTTGAAAATGAAATTCAGGACTTCATAGGTGTGATTTTACTGACAGCTGTCGCAGAGATCAAGCTATCTTTCTTATAGTATAGCTTTATGTCACCTTGTCTACCAAGCGATCGAAAACGATCGATCACGTGATATTTCGAAAGCTTATGCCAGTTTCATACATTTCGGAGTTATCTAATTTCGTTATCGTTATTGAAAATGTAACTTTGTCTAGGGCCTCGGGTATAATTGGGTTTTAATTTAAAATTCGTTGTCAATTTTTTATTGTATTTAAATAATTTATTACTAAATATTAAAGTTGATAATCGATGCAAAAAGTCCCATATTATGTACAATTAATTAAAAGTTGTAAATAAAAAGTCTACTTTGATGACTCTTTGTTGCCACACACCCTGAAATGATTTCAAACGAACAACCACCAGTTTTAGAAAATCCACTAAGTTGCAACATAGACGACACTGAGTATCAGAACCATACCATGTCCTTCTTTCACCTTACATATAAATACGCCTACGTGCGGCTGCAATGTGCGAGGTTTCATATAACGAATTATAAAATGCGGTGCGTACGGTGCTGGCAAATGTGCGTTCAGCTTAAGAATGCAATAACAAGCATGCATATCATGAAAATATTACAACCACCCTGGGCAGGTGTGGGTTGGTGAGAGTTGCACCAACACCTTGCACTGTTAAAGTTGCTTCCCATCACTTGTAGTTTTCCAATTGATATACTATGAGAGTCATTCATCATTGATTAGCATGGTGCACCGCGGGGAGGTAAGGTTTATTTTTAATAATCCTACATCTTTATTAATATTTAGCTTGGTATTATTTGCTTTGTAAAGAAACAGCATTTACAAATAAATCGTTTATTAAAATATATTTTTTACAAGTTAAACATAAATTTCATCTTAGGTTTTAAAATATTAAAAGAGATATACAAAAACATCATGCGTACTTTCAGGTGTGTTTCCGGTGTGTAAGCTTTAAACATTTTTGTCTAAATGGTTCTCGATTACATCGAGTAAACTTGAGGCGCCAATGCGGAACAATTCCGGACGAAGCCACTCTGCCCCCAGCTCACTGTGCACCAAAACGAGCCAGTTGACGGCATCTTTGGCCGTTTTAATTCCCCCAGCTGGCTTCAAGCCAACCTGTTTAAGAAAAAAATACAATAGTTTTTTTTAACCTTTACTAGTTTCTCTTAAGAATTAGCCTTTTTTATACGTGCAACAAATAAAAACATGCAATCTTGAAAGCGTTGGCCACGTGAGTGAATCCATCACTGCATTTCGTACCGTTACCGTTCGGAGTGGTAAGACATACCAGAAAGATCTTATGGCTTCAAATAGATGGCGGTATAACTATTATCTACTTTACACAGGGCATATAATACTGGGTATACGCCTTGCGACAGGAAACAGCATTAAAGTTACGAATCGTTTAGTACTGTGATCGTCAATCCACCTGCCAAGTCTGTCAATTAAGGCAAAACTTTTCTTCAGCAGGAGAGGTACATGACCAGCGGTGGACTTTTACAGGCTGTTGATGAAGAAGAATAATTTTGAAAGATATGGTCACAGGAGCATGGCGGCCTAAGTGGGTTTGTGTACAAAGAGAATCGATGCTCTCGCAACATGCAATATTGCCGTCTTCAATGAGTCTGCAGAATTAGAGGGTGTATAAAGAGGCGACAAAGGGAAACAAGTCGAAAGTTGGGCAGCAGCGCCTTCCAGATAACAGCTAGAAAATAAAGAACTGCGGTTGCCAATCCGCCTGTCAAAGGCGACAAAGGCATTATGAGGCATGAGGCATAAGTCTCTACATAGATTAAATATATGAAGAGGCTTATATGTTAGCAGTTGACTTTGAGTATATTTGTGAACTAAATGATGAATTCGAATTGAATCCATCTATCGATAGCCAGTCTTGTTTGTTAAATGGCAAGCTGCATCATGTGCAAGTGATAGTTATAGAGATATACAGACAACAATAGTACATTTAATCAAATGAAATCCTGATGAAATATCAAACAAAATAATAAAAGAAAGCGCAATATACATAACAGCCCCTCTCACACGTGTAATAAATTTATCTTTTGTAATAGTGAATTCCCAAAAAAAAAAAAATTAAGAAGACTATAACTATAGGTTAGTTATAGTCTTCTTAAATTTTTTTTACAAAAAGGGCTGAAACTAATTTTTGAAAAAAATTATTGAAATAATTGTGTACAAAAGGATAACAAATTTTTTGGATAAAATATGAACAAAATTGTTTTCATAGAAATAGGTCCACAAACCTAGCCATATATCATCTTATGAAAAAAATATACAATTCATTAGACAAAAGAATTTACATTTCGGCGATATTTACTTTGACTCTGTTAATCATAAAATACAATTAGATAAAATTGAGAGGTGTGGAATTCGAGGAGCGATTGTTAATTGGATTAAGTAATACATTTGGCAAAGGAAAAAAGCCACAGAACTTAATTACTTTTGTCATAATACAAAAACAGTGACAGTTAATAGATAGAATTTTAAAGAAATAAACCGCAGTGTTCCTCAGGGTACTGTATTAGGTCCACTTCTTTTCATGTTGTACACTGTGTACATAAAAGACCTTCCAAAATACACTCGAAATCCAATAATTTTATTCGCAGATAACTGCACCACACCCATCAAGTGTGCTTCCAGGGAATTTTATCAATTAGATAAAAGCATTAAACTCACTACTAGCAGCAATATAGTGGAATGGTTAAACCGTAACTAATTATTAATTTGTCATAAACTTATGTTTTTTTCCAAATTATGTTTTGCCACTACCATGTTTTTCATTAAAGAGGTAAGTATTTTTATTTGTACGTAAATATAAATATTTATTTGAAAAACCTAAAAATCGTAGGAAGCCTTTTAAAATAACAAGTTCATTTTATCCGAAGACTGCACAATACACTAAAAGCATTTACAGCATGCATTAAAATTACAATAACAATCCCGACTCGTTTAAAAATATGAAAGACAAAATTTAAAATGGTAATGAAGACGTGGTTATTAGATAAATACTTCTACAGCTTACAAGAATTTTAGACAGTAAAGATGAAATAATGTTATATAGCGGTTAGATTTTTTAAATTAAATAATTCAAATTATAATAAATAAAGAGAAATCCGTATTTTATTGCTATCTTAAAAAACTGACTGACCTAATGTATTGTAATAATAATTTAAAAAGATATTGATTATTTTATAAATATATTTAAGTAATTATTGTACACGTGGAAAAGGTAGACTATAGAGCACAAATGTACGTAAAACATTTTTACCTGTCATTTCATGTAATGTCAAGTAACTGAAAAAACGTTATTGAAATTATTTTATAATCGAAAAATTGCTCCATTGTCAGAGACTTATTAGTGCGTATGGACCGGATCTTTGAACAAATAAAAAGGCACCGACTCATTGGTGCTAAAATGTTTATGGAGCACCAACGCGACCACAGGTGCAGTGTTTTCACTTTTAGATATTTTACACTATTTTAGGGTAAATCTACTAATATTGAAAATAAAACGTCTTTATCACATAAATCAAGATTTTTAATCGTGAAATGATATTCAAATCTTGATATAATGTTGTTCTTGACATAATGAAAAGTGGGTGCAATAAATAACAGGTTACTAGGTAACTACAGGTTCTAGGTTAAAACCAAAACCGTAAGTGAAAACACTGGTTCTGTGGTAGTTCATAAGTATTTAAGAGATGGCGCTGATTTACCCTATGCTTAAACCGTGAACAATTTTTGTTCGCATGGCAATATCTTGTCATTTATATCAATGCCCATGGTTATATTAATAATAGTAAGTTGTACTACTTGTAACTAAATATTTTTTTAAATTTCTTTTATGCATAGATACCATTACAGCCTATCAAAAGTGCAATGCTAAATATAAGCCCTCCCCATAGATTGTCTCACAGGAGAAGGTAGCCCGCAGTTTTTTATATTATTTTAAATTGCAATCAGAAAAATTCTGTTGCCCACCTTATGTTTAATTTCCCTCGTCGCCTTCTACGACACCCGCAGGATGATATGGGGTAGTTAGTTAGACTAGTGGTGTTTCTTACACCGTCGTTACACTGTAAACTACGCACACGGAATATAATATTATTCTGTTTTACTTCATTATTAGCCATTTGGAACTTCAAATTTTCAAAATCTAAAAAAATACTAAGATTTTTTATTTAATTAATATTAAGTATATATGTGTATGATAAATACCTTCACTCCTGTCATTAGGTAGAAGTTACGAATAGCTCTGCACATCACTAAACCAACCGGTAAAGTTGCGTTGACTGCTTCTTTTCCAGTTGAAGTTTTTATGAAATCAGCTCCCGCTATCATGGAGACCATGGAAGCTTTGTACACCTACATAAATAAACAATATTTCAAGTAATTTTTATTGCTATTTTAAACATATTTCATAACCATTATTATATTTTTTTTGTGATAGCGATTTTTTCTGCCCAGGAGCCCGTGTTGCTTAGTACCATTCTCTTATGCATTTCTGCCGCTTAGAATCCGTGCAAAGACTGTTGTGTGCTAGTTTGAGGGACTGGTATAATTAAAGACTTTTTATCTTAGCTCTAAGGGGTGATGATGCATCTGAGTCTTGTTAAAAGCTTTATTTTGTGCGGCATATTTTTAATTTCTAAATTAACATATAATAGGAACTACTAAATAGCAAACATTTGTGTGAAATAGAATAGTAATAATTCTAACGAAATTTACAACTAAACGCATATCAAAAAATTCACAATAAGGTCAGGTGGGGTAAGAGGGACATACTTTATTTTCAGTAAAATATTTTGACTGCTAGGAAGAACAGCAAAGTCTTTTAAGATCTTTGAACCAAACAAAACTTGCCTTTATGTATTAGCTTCACATGTGCAAAATGTCATTACGCTAGTATCCGTTTTTACTACGATATTGACGTAAATGTCAAGATTAAGTAAACGTTCCTCTTCCCCCTCACATGGGATAAGAGGGACAGTCATTGTATTTCTTAAGATTGGACTTTGAATTAAAATATTCTTTGCTAAATGTTCGTTAATTTGTAGGTAGAACTGCTTCGGTCAAAATTAGATCTTACAATCGATGAAATAAGGTATCGTTTGAAATGAAAAAGAAGAAAAAATCAATTCGGGGTAAGAGGGACATACAGGTTCGATCAGGGGTAGCAAACTAAAAAGAAGGTGATATTTCTATATTTATTTAATCATACAAACGGTAATAATATATCTCCCTAACTAGTTTTCCCTAGTTAGTCACTCTTTAAAAATAACAATGGATTTGGACACTTTGGATTTAAAAACGGTTAACAAATGTTATTCTTGGTATATTATAAAGTTTTGATACGAAGTATGCAGATATTGTTCCATTTAATACCGCATTGACAGCCTCACTTAATTTATCATTATCATATCTATCAGATTTTCTTATATATTTATATATTTTCGCGCTATGTTTTATGAGATATATATATATGAGATATATATATATATATATATATATATATATATATTATATATATATATATATATATATATATATTATATATATATATATTCCTACAACAGTCAAAAGTGATATAATATAACAAAATATTACAATTAAAAAAGAAAGGGACGTATACAAAACGCATGAAACTTTATTTATTTAAACTAATTAAAAAAAAAGAAAACATTTTATTTTCTATTTGTTTGTTATGATCTATATAACTCAAAAACTAAAATCCGATTTCAAAAATAAATTTCACACAAAAATAGGTAAGCGTGGTCGAAGTTGTGTCAAATTTCTAGTTTAGTTATAATTTAAAAGTGTAGTAGGTACAAAACAGTCAGTCAATTCTTTTCATTTAACCTACCTATAATTATAAATTATTCAAAATGTGTGTTACCCCTGACATAGTGTAAAAGAAACATATGTTCCTCTTTCACCGTGAATAGTGAGCCTCTTACCCCAGCTATTGCTTTTGGAGGTTTAGATTTTCAAGCGAAAGAAACTCATATTATTAGTTGTTTCTAGACTAAAATGGTTAATAAAATTAAATAATTACAGTTTTCTCCTTATATCATTACATTCAAAATATTTCCAGCTCTCTTTTTTCACCAAACTATTGGTTCGCAAAAAAACGCGCTTTGTACTAGTCGAATTCACAACTGTCAAATGTGTCTTCATTTTTTGTGACTTCTGAGTCACGTAGCGATGTCTATTGAAAACCGTTCAAACTATTTCGCATTCACTGTTTTATTGAAGAAAAGTTCATAGTCATACGCACTTCGGTTTACTAGTTATGGTCCCTAGTCCATCTTCCCCCGGTGTCCCTCTTACCCCACCTGACCTTATAGGTTCATTTATGTACCTAATTTTAATTATAAACTATCTCTGTTACTAAGATTTTTAATGTATGATTATGAAGTTTGAAACTATTAATAATGATAAATATCAAGAAATGTCTAAAACTTGATCAAAAAATAAAGTTGTGTGCTACCATAGCTCGGAGGACACGTTTCGAAAATTCGTAATTTCAATCCCCACCGACGCAAGAAATTTTATGTACTAAAGTACCACGTGCTATCCGGTAAAACTTTCATAAAAGTTCGATCGTGAAGAAATAAGCACGTTTAAGATATTTCGAAAACGTAAAGTTCACCGACTCGCATTAAGGCATCGCGGCGGACATTTCTCACGCCCAAAAAACGTTACAGAAATAAGTAGAGGCCCATGCCCAGAGGTGTGACGTTTATATGCTATTTTACTTTTTTAAGACGTACGTTTTCATATGATCCAAGTTCGCCAATTCCTAAAATCACTTTCAAGTGCGCTTTGCCACATGCTTTTCGCATTTGCACCACTTCATTAAAGAGTGTCTCCCATTTTCCCATCAGTACTAAGCTACGGTCGAGTACCACATCAATCTCCGTGGCACCATTTTCAACAGCAAATTTAATTTCCTGGAGTCTGGACTCTAGTGGGTATAGTCCAGACGGAAATCCAGTAGCAACTAAAAAAAAAATAGAAAAACTAAATTACGATATTAAGTAGTAATATTAGAAAAGTGAAACGATTTTTTTTTAATTAAATAAAATTACTTGTTATTCGAAAAATTTCAAAGTACCTTAATTCACAGACTTTTTCAATATCAAAATTAATATTTTAAAACAAATTCTTCCAAGTAAGATTCAGTTTTACGAGTATTAAATGTCTACCTAACAGGGTTTGCTTCACATATATTTCTTAAATTTGCTTTAATTATGGTTAGTTATGTCCACTGGAAATTAGTACAATATTAGGTTTGTCTGTACGCGCCGAAAAACTAACTTCCCGATGAGCTAGACACTTGAAATTTGGGACATAGCTCAGAATCGGGCTACAATTAAGTTGGATTTAATTATTTTGCACAAATATAACACTTTTATAAAGTACCAATAAGTGTAAAAAGGTTCTTACTTCTAATTTTCAGGAATATTATGAAATTACGTGATGACGTATTATAGTTCAATCAAAAAATTTTATTTCATCAACTTAAGTCCAAAAATGCATGCCTTAAGCGCAAAGCCCGTAGGTATGTTCTACTAGCGTAAAAATCCGTGTAAAAATCCAACGTTTTGTCGCATGAAATCGTAGCTAACAATTATATTGAACACATAAATGATATAAAAAACACATTGTCAGAAAGATAATTGATTGTTGAACTTATTTTTTTTAATTGATTAATTGGTATTTTTACATTAAAAAAGTGGCTATAGTGGCTTATGGTGTAGATTTATCAAGTCCGCATGGATGAGTAAACACGATAACTTTTGAAAATATCAATCGTTTAACTCAGTATATTTTTAATCTCTTCAAATATTATCATGCGGTAAGCCATGAAATACAAAATATTCCAAAAACCAAATTTAATACATATTTGATTATTATTATAATCACAGTTTTTGTTACAATATATTGTTTCGCTAAAAGTACGTAGCATTTATATATGATGTATGGGGAGATCTGTTTATGACTTTGCTTTGACATATGGTCTGATACAACTGATTACCTCGCCTACGCGGATCCCAGATGTGAAAGAACATGTACCTTCCCTGTTGGACCTTCTGCAGACCTCTCATCCGGACCGATATCAAGTCTCCGCCGATGCCCCTCTTGGCTCCTCGGACCATTATCTGATCCAGAAAGCTCAGCAGAGCGGGACAGTATTTCATGCCGGCTCACCGCCTGCAAATTTACAAGCCGCAGGTTCGGCCACACATGGAATACTGTTCCCATCTCAGGGATGGGGCTCCCCAGTGCCCGCTCCTCCCATCTGATCGCATCCACCGCAGATTAGTTCGAATCGTCGGCAACCGAGCTCTTTCCCATCGATCTCTTTACGAGAGATTTTTCCGGACCGATACGACTTAGGGAACTTCAAGAAAAGAGCCTACAACATTTTAAAAGGCCGGCAACGCATCTGCGATTCCCCTGATGTTGCAGTTGTTCATGTGCGGCGGTAATCACTTACCATCAGGTGGGACGTATGCTCATTTACCCATCTCCTTTAAAAAAAATTCGAAAACACCTATTCAGAGCCATTTGAAAATCTCCAAGGGCTGTAGAATGTAAGTAACTATAGTCTCATTCCTTCATTCTAAACACTTAATGAGTTGGAGGCATTTTAACGTTTTAACTTATCTAATGTGTCAGTAGCTCTGAAGAATTTTTTGACGGCTCCGTGCTGCAGAGGCTTAGCAATGAGTTCTGACGCTTAATGCCGCGGGTTCCACCTTCCTGGAAATCACGCACGAAAAGAGTAATTGTATGGCCTACAATTAATTCTTTAAGGTCTCGATATTTGTATGTGTGAAATTTATGTATGTAAACTGCCTCTACAATACAGGGTAAAAATACGTTTTACAATGAAAAAGAATTTTGACGAAACTTGTTCTGGTTAAATAGCATATTTGTATTGAATTTTTTTAAATAAAGTATATGAAAGTAAACGCCTATTCTGAATACTAATAATAGTAGGGAAGCCCGAGAGACAAAATTAGGAGTACTCTAGCGTCGTTGGGACCTTTTGGATTGTGAAGCTTAGATGCTAAAAACAAAAAAAGGTTATATGATATATGCCTTTTCAGTGGTGGGATGAGCTATAGATTTTCAAAAAAGTAAAAATAAAGTCACAAAAAAAAAACTCGAGCGCATCAGATATTTACAGTGTATACGTCCCACGTATTTTTGAGAACGGAGGAATATTAATCTGACAGATTGAATGGTGGGGGTGGCCGTGCATAGGTGTTAAAAATGGGATTAAAAAAATATTCTAGCGCGTCAGATATTCCGAAGATATGTTAAGTACACCTTAAAGAAGCTTCTATTCAAAAGACTGACGATTTGGACGCGACCAAAACTCTTGGTAAATTTTTGAAAATGCAAAAAAAAAATCGTGCCCTTGAAATACTTCGACCTTGAAATACCTCGCGTCAGATTAATAAACGGACTGTTCAACATGGTTTCCTTTTGCTGACCCGTAATCTGACAATTATGTGGAGGAATTTCCTTAATGTGAAGGGTTAAAAAAAGCTTTACATTAAAATAAAAATAACTAGAAAACAATGTGGAATTTCAAAAAACATTATTTATAATAATTTGTCAGAAATAAAATCACCTACAAAAAAGCTCCTATGACATTTTGTGATAAGTCTGATAGTTTCGTCGGAACAGACAAGAGATCTCAAAATTTACTATAAATTTGACTTCAAGCTCAAATAACTTACGAACAGATGAATTTATCAAAAAATGTCAAAAGACATTTTTGTAGAGCGTTTGATTTCCTACAAAATAGTTATCGCACATAAAAAAAGGTTTGTGAGGTAGAATATTCTAAAAAAAAATTCCCGTGTTATTTAAACGAGAAATAAAAATAAACCTCTAAATGGGTATTAAAATTAATAGCTCTGGTTTTCACAGGCGTCTTTTTTCGGTACTGTGAAGATATTTCAATGCGGAATTTCAAACAAAAAAGGTCGATTTTCTTGCATCGATCTAATATTATAATGAAGAAGAGAAAAAACGTTGAAAATAAACTTTTAATTTTCATCGTGACTTGAATCATCGTCGAGAGATAAAGAAAGAGTGAGAAAGAAAGAGAGGCGCGAAGTGGGAAATACATAGTTCTCAGCAGCTGCACGCATCACACTATATTGAGGATTTTAACTACTTCGGCTTGTGAAAATCGGCAGATTATATTATTTTCGTGGTCCTTAAATGATTTCCTTAAAATTAAAATTAAATTAACCACGCTCGAGTAAATCAAGGTGACGTTTTTTTTTACAATTTTGTGACTCTCCTATTTCCTTAGGTCAAGCGCAAATCGTCACATTATTGAAATACACTTTTATGCATGTAATTAACTCACCTTGCCTTAATCTGACGCGCTCGAGTTTTTCGACCTCTCGACTTTTTTTACTATTTTGATCGGCTGCCCTAAGCACACGTCCCTATTAAAGATCTCACATTTGTTGGGGGTACTTAATAGGGTGCAAGGTTTCTTCCTCACGTTATTCTGCCGCGCTCGAGTAAATCCTGAAATCGCCGCTTGAGCTTCCCTACTATAACAATTTGAGGCAAACTGTATAGAAATAAAATCCACAAATATAACAAAGTTTATAGATACAGTAACACACAATCGATATTTGGTCAATTAACATTTGACCAAAAATAGTCGCCTAAGAATGTTCGTAACTAGTAGACAAGGGATTAACTAAACCGTCGTTAGGATGGCTGAGTTTTAGTATGTGCCAAATCGATTGAGAAAAATGGACAATGACCTCAGATATGAGCCGAGTGTCAAAAGGCGTAACTTAAAAAAATTTCAATTTAGATGTGATGATATTATTCACACTTCTAGGCCAGCACATATGTTTTATTTTTTGTTTCTTAAATAATATTGGCTGTGGTTCCTATAAACATCGTAAAATCTTACGGTACATAGCGAAAAACGTGTTATATTTTATGTTTTAATTTATGGTAAGTAACACAGCAATTCATTGAATAACAGTTTCATATTAAAAAAAATATTTGAAGCAATATAATCACCATATTGTGCTTTTGCAAATTCATTCCTTTAAAAAAACAAAACGCGCATTACGTCAGTTTATTCTAAAAGAAAGGTGATAATAGCAGCATGTGTCATCTTTTTTGGGCCGGTCCGCATGCACCGAATAAAAATAAAGTTCTTATAATATAATATTGAAAATAAAGTTTTATCTTTTGAATAAGTACTTTTGAATAAGTCGTTATCACTCGAATCTTTATATGCGTTATAAATTAATGCTTTTTGTTGTTAAATGAATAAAGTACTTTATAACAATAGATAATTTTTCTTCTACAGCCATCTTTTACATAACTTTTTAATAATAGTTAATAAATATATATTATATCAATCATTATAAAAAATGATTATAAATAAAGAAAGTACTACATATAAAATGTGCCTATATATTGCAGGTTTGTAACCCCTGGTTAAACGACTGAAAGATCATTGACCGTTTTTCTCAATCGGTTTGGCACATACTATAGTATCAATAGCAAGTAGATCACTTATGTGAATAGGATAGCCGACTCTATCCTATTCACATAAGTGATCTACCAAATGCATTACATTGTTGCGTTTGGTTGGTACAGCTGTGAAAAAACGTGTCATGGTTTAGTAAACTACCTAAAAGATCATTAGGATGACTGATTCGAGAATAAATAAATCAGACAAAAATTTATAATTAAAAAGTGATAACTATGACATCAGGATGTTAAGCATATTTGACAATGCATGATCAAAACGTCGGAATTATAAAAATAAGAAGCATATTAGCAATAAAATCCATAAAGATTAGTATTTATAGTTCATAAAAGATAGCTTGATCTCTGCAACAGCTGTAAGTAAAATCACACCTATGAAGTCCTGAATTTCTTAGTAGTACAGACAGTAGGTACCTGTCAATGTCATACTTTATGGGCATGCCGACCTAATTATAGTTCATAGAAGATAGCTTGATCTCTGCGACAGCTGTCAGTAAAATCACGCCTATGAAGTCCTGAATTTCTTAGTAGTACAGACAGTACTTGTCAGAGATTAAGCTATCTTTTATGAACTATAGTAGTATTAGATAGGTAAGACAATTGATGTTAGACCATTTATTCTATCAATTTTTTGTTTAAAAAAACTACTCCTGGCATTGCTCTGTAACTGTTTGTAATGTTTCATCATAATCAGTTTAGCCATTCCTAAGATTAGCCTGGACAGACTAGATAGCATGCAAATTATCTCCTGCTATAAGCCAGCTATTTTAATAAATAGATATACACATCAATTTGATTTATATGTATATATAGATAATTTATATATAATATGTACGCAGCAACAAAAAGCGAATTGTATCAAAGTTACAATTTGCTTTGTAATGTTTCGTTAAATGAGATAATAAGAAATCAAGAAAGATATCTTTACCAGAAGCAATTTTTATTGTATCCGTCAATCCCATCTTCTTAATTATGTCATAGGCATCTGCTACTCTCGTTGGATATACACAAACTGCTGCTGTCGTGATTTTATTGTCATCACTGAGTTTCAGTTTTTTTAAAATAGCATTTGATAAGGGATGTGCAGCCTAGAGCAAGACAATAGTTTATTTTTAATATTTAAGTATTTTTTTATTTGAGTAGTGTATTTTGGTGAAAAAACACTATAAAAGTTGCTTTTAAAGCAAATGAATATTTACAGAACTCGTTTCCATTAACAACAATTTTTTTTTTATAGGAAAAGGGTGACAAGCGAGCACACAGTCGACCTGATGGTAAGTGGTTGCTGTGGCCCATAGGTATCTACATCTATCCTCATTTGCGAATCAAAATGAAGAAACGTTGTCAGCCTTGAGGACTAAGATGGAATGCTTCTTTTCCAGTAAAAAGGGTCCCCGGTTCTCTACACTCACCATACGAAACACAGCAGCATTAAGCTGCTATTTGACGCTGGTATTCTGTGAGAGCGTGGTCCTTCCCCAGTCGAGCTGACTCATTTTTTGCTATAACTATACAATTAATATAGCTGCATCATGGCTCTACCACGTAAGAAAACATTTTTTCTCCTTCTATGTCATGCTGCACCATAAGCCTCCTCAAACCATTTTTGCTAACATGTTTTATAAAGGCCTTATATATTATATTACAATTTTACTCTTAATGGTGCTAATTTAAGTAACAACATTTGGCCTCATTTATCAATGTCTGATTGTTTTATGTAGTGTGTATATGATATAATAATATGTATAAACAAGTAGTGAAAGTTTATTTCTTAAATGGACTAATTCATTACTTCATAAAAGTACACATTTTATATGGCTTATAAATAATTTAACTAAATAATAAAACTTCTGATATCATAGGAACAGTTATTAAACAGAACAGAAATTTAAAGAGAAAAAGAAACAAATTTTGTTTGAATAATGTAAGAAAGCAAGGATGTACAATAGATTTAACCTTAAAGGTAAACTTTATAGACTACAAAAATAGAAAGGTTTATAAAACTGGATTTAAAGTAATTTACACAAAATGAAAAAATTCTATTTTAAGAATAAAATATATACACACCTTTAGACATAACCTGACCACATTAGACCTTGTGTCTTCTCCAGAAAGTGTGGTCAAATCTATTAAAGATATAGTTTTCAATAGCCATGCATTTATATGTTCTTTGGATATAACTGGATGGGTTTTTAATATTATTTCTATTTGAGATTCCAATGTGTTTTTGTCTTGATAAATATTTTTCAAAATTCCAAGGCACTGAAGGTTGGTTTTGTCTGGAACACAAATATTCCAATTATAAAAAAAATAATATGGTAGATTTCGCCTTATTCTTTCACACACGAACCATTAAACAAGATGTTCTTTGATTGAAATATTTGTTATTCTGTATTGTTTAAAGCAAGTTGTTAGTCTAAAATTTAGTTTACTTATTATGTCACATGTAAGCAGTTAATTTTCTTGAGCAGTGCTGAAGCTTTTTTAAAAACAACAAATATGTCTCGATGACATTTAATATCAATTTCATAATAATAACGAATTAAACTAATTTAGTGCCATACTGACTAACCCCTCGTCTGGCGGCCGACCATTTTGCAAATATATCGCGTTTGCTAAGGCCTTAGCAGGTAATTTCGCGATATCAGCGCGTGGCAATTATATTAGTAATTTCTCTAAAATATTGTATGGAAGCTATGTATAAAACTTATGTCATTTGAATTGTTATATTATTTGCTATTACTCTGTAGATAGTTGAATACAAACTAACTAACAGATTTTAACAATTTTAAAGTTAGAAAACCGAATTTTATAATAGTATTTTGTACATAATTTGTGAAAATTATAGAAAAAAATCATTCATTTATAAAATAAATGTAATTCATTTTCATCAATATATACTAATTTATAATAAAAAAGTAAAAAACCACACATTCCTGTATATTTTTTACACCATAAGTTTTTTACAATCTTGACTTACACATGAACGGCAACCCAAGCGTCGCACAAAAAATAGCATATATTGTTACTTTTATTTTAAGCTAGGAGCGAGTCAAGTGGCTGGCGATAATTTTAACATTAAGTATGGTTCAAGTTCTTAATTTAGTCAAAGTTTCATTTCTAAAAGGTATGTAATGTATTTATAAATCAACAATAGAGAAAAATGTAAGGTAAGTAAGTATAACAGCCATTTATGTTCGAATATTTTTTTAATAAAAAGGATACATATCCTTAAACTATGAATTAAAAACTGTTGGTTATTAACCCTTCCATGTTAAAATAGTACCAAACTTCACTATTTGTTCAATTTACGAATAAAAATAAGGGCAAAAACCGGGACCACATAAAAGCAACGTTCACATATGACTGACTACCACACAAGCTGTTTATTCGAAATTTCTAAACATTGTAGTACTTTAGTAGCTTTGTATTGCATCCTCTTTATTTGGTGTATAATTTTCTATAAGCAAAAGTGTGATAGAAATCAGTGTTATTTTACCCGCCAGGAACGCAGTCGTGGATCGGCCAGAATCTGGTCGCATGCCAGATGCACGAGAAACCCAGATTCTGGCCGATTGCCAGATGAGGGGTTAACTTAACTATTTAGTTATTTAATTACATTACATTCCAAATTCAATGGATTTTATAGCGTGGTCAAAACAAGTCTTGTAGGAATAGCACCTTGTTTTGACCAGCAATAACAATTTTACAGTCCTTTGCAACATTACACTTCATATCATATTTTGAGTATTATATCAAAAGTTTAGTCGGTACAATTCGTGATCAACATGTTCTAAAATTATGGCTACTTATGAATATTATGAGTAGTTTTCTATCAAAAGCTTAGCAGGGATATTTTGGGATTAACTGGTTGTTATGATATTACGGCTACTTCCAGACTGCATAACTGAACAAATAAGTGTCAAAGAAAATGTTCTGTTCCAACAAATGTTAATGCGAGCGTATTTTCCATGTATAACACTGTTTAATCTATGGAATATCAGTTTATCTTGTCATATTTAACGTCTTAACCGTAATAAATCAGATTTCTTGGCCACAATCACTATTTATTTAGTTCAGGATTAAAATTAAAACTCACCTATGTTTTTGTTATTAATTTGCAACATTTTTATTACATTAAAGTAATAGGAATTAAGGCTATGTAATAATACAGTGACAATTATATTATATTTTACTATGTAAGAGTTCAATTATTTAATATGGTAGTAGTTTAATGATTTCTTATCAAATCCACGCATGATATGACGTAAACATTTAAACCACAATATCAAACCCGATAACGTAGTCTTTGCTCTGCACAATATTGAAATCAAAGTTCAAATTCAAAACAATCTTCTCACTTTTTAAAATGTCATCATAAATAAATAAATGTCATTGTCACTTGTCATCACCGTTGCAAACATCAATTTGTCGCATTTCCCGAAAATCCAAGTAAAATTCCCCAATTTGAGGAGAGAAATATTGCTCACAAATTCCCCTCAATTACATTTTAAGAAATGAAACAAGTTTCAACTAATTTTATAATATTTATTTTTTATCTTACATGTTTTTCTTTTTTACCGATTTGTTTCATGCTCCATACTTTTGTGGCAAGAATTTTAGTCCATGGAATATTTGTAATCCCTTCCCTTGCCTTGTTGCCATTAAAAGTACCACAGTATCTCTGCATTTATATGATATTCTCTGCTTTAAAATAAAAAATAACTAAGAAATGAAAAAGCATAAAATTATATATAAAATTTGCTGAAATAAATCCGAAAATTAAATGTGGTGGAGTGAAAATAATTTAAAAATGGATAGTAATTCGATATTTGTAAGTAACATAACAAATGTTAAGATAAGTATTTAGAATTCTTGTACAAGGGTTCTGACTTGGCTCGGGCTACCGATTTCCAAAATCCTCTTATTTTCGCCTCATAATGCCAATACCCAAAAATCCTCAATCAACTTGAAGACATTCCCCGCAGTTTCCCCTCAGAAGTTGGTAACACCGTCACAAGAATGTTACCCAAGGAGTATGGAGTGCAGAAGTAAGTAGTACAGACTGTGTATTAAAAAGTGTCCATAAAAAACTTTAAACAAGGATGGCGTCACTATAGCTACGGGGTAAATTTTAAAGAACGCACCGAAAAATATTAGTGGGATAGACGACTTTTTTGAGGTTATATTTACTAAATAATTATTTTACATTTTAGAGCTACTGAGCAGTTTAGCAGCACACTTAAACCGTCGAAAACTGCTAAGTTCATTTCATCCCAGTAGCTACTCCAGCGCTGTTGTGGAGAGTTTTGGAGCTGTTATTTACTGCTTACAGATGACCACTTTTCAACTATTCTAGTATGGGAGTTGGTACACCTTACTTCTACACTCCATACCAAGGTTATAAATATTTATAACCTCCTTGGTGTTACCAATTATTTCCCTAGAACGTGCCGTGGCGAGTACCATGGACGTGAGAGAGAAGGAAAACGATCAATACGTGCCAAAAATGGAGTATAGAGGTAAGGAGGACAACATCCCATAGGGCAATAATTGAAAATGTGTCCTTCTGTAAGCAGTAAATAACAGTTCAAAAACTCTCCACAACAGCGCTCGAGTAGCTATATAGCGTAGCTATGTAGCGAGTAGGTATGATAATACGCCGTAAAATACGTTGAGAGTGATTTTGAAAATAAAAATTTTGGAAGCAATAAATAATTATTCTAAAAAGAATTATGGTGAAAATCTGTGCGATAAAAAAATTATAAAAAAAAACTTTAAAATTTAGACTGTAGCTACAGTGGCGTCATCTATTTAGTGCTTTCCTACGGACACTTTTTTATACAGAGTCTGTACTCCTTACTAGTGCTAATAATAGCCCGCCTGTCCCTGAACTGCCGTCGGTAAGTAGTATCTGCGAAGTTAGCTTTTATGAGTACAAGTAGATGAAGTTAGTTGATTAATGTACAAATTTTCTTCGCGGTATTGGTGAGAAACTAATCGTGCTCCATAATTTTTTTAATTTTCGTCAAAAACCATTAAAAATGGTGAAATATTGTATTTTGCGTGGATGTGCAAGTGGTTTAGCATCTGATCGAAAATAGACTGAAAATGACTTTTATTGAGACAATTTAGCGATCGCAGTGCCTCACTTATTTTGTACATATTTCTGGGACACTATTTTCAACAGCGATCGTTCTCCTTCTCTTTAACTTCCATGGCCAGTGCCAAAGAAAACCTTACAAAAATTGCTGACTACAAATATGGAATTTTGTACATAAAATTTTCAATAACTTCATCCATTAAGACGTATATATTCACTACGCCTTGCCTTTTGACTAACGCATTTAGGGCACCATTAACTTTGTTCCCGGCAGCGACACACCTGTCCACATCTAAATCACATCTTCCATCCCGGCTGAAAGCACTCCCCAAGTATACAATTTAATTTACCTGTTCTAGACATTCCTGATTTACCCATATTTGTCATTTCGTTCTCTCTTCGTCCTTTTTCAAATACCAGAACCTTAGTTTTATTAGCATTCAAACGGAGACCTTTAATTTCACATTCCTCTTTCATACACGTGACTAATGCCTGTAGTTCTGCTTCTGATGGTGCAATAAGCACTGCATCATTAGCATACAGCAGACAATTTATTTTAATGTCACCCAATTTCATACCCAAACAGCTATTTTTTAGCTTCTGGAAACAGCTGTCGAGATACAGTATGAACAGCCAGGAAGACATGACACAACCCTGTTTTACGCCCGCTTGGACGCTAAAAATGGTTGACAGGTTCTAAGCGCACACAGGCTTTACAGTCATAGTAAAGTGGCTGCACAACCCTTAAAAATCGACCATCCACACAATATTCCGGCAACAGTTCCCACATTTTCTTCCTTATAACCTTATCAAATGCTTTCTCCAGAAGCACAGAAAATCCTCTGATTAACACTCAGAAGCTTTTCCGTGATCATGCGGAGAGAAAACATTTGATCCGTGCATCCTCTTCCAGGTCTAAATCCGCATTGTGCCTCCCATAAGAATCTTTCCGATTTCTCTTGCATCCTACGTGTCAAAACCTTCGAGTAAACTTTACTTGCTAAACTGGTCAAGCTGATTGCCCGATAGCACCCGCAGTCAAAATGTGAACCTTTACCTTTATATAAAGGCACAATGACCGCGGATCGCCAATCATCGGCGTCATACCCGGATCATTCACTAAGATCATGACTCGCATACATTTCTCTATAAAATTCGCTCCATCGCTGCATGACGTCCGATTTTTCTGAGAGGACGTCATTGGTTTTCGAAAGCACTTTGTTCATTCTTAAGGCTGTCACACCACTCCGGGACCTTCCAACCTCTTTCCAGAAGAGTTTGGAGTTTTCCCTAAATGTGTGACAACCTTTCGTACGCTTCTATTCTACACCTTTCACGTACTTCCTTGATCAATGTTTTCGCATGAACTTTCTGCAGCTTATATCTTTCTTTCATCTTCTCTCTCATATGCTTATCGTTACTAGAGGCCAAGGTCTAACCATGCTTTTTTCTTCTTCTTTACAGATTCTCTCACTTCATCATTCCACCATGCATCTCTTCTTTTACTACTACCTCTTTTTGCCGTTAGACATACTTCTACCGCTGCACTTACCATTCCATCCCAACATAACAGTGCCTAGTTTAACAAATTCCACGAATGATTTTTATTATTATTAATTAACATTGTTATTGGGGGGTATCTATATAGTTTTCTCACCTGGTTGAGATCTATAAATATATAATTATAAATGAAAATGAAAAGATAAATATATACATAAATATCAATAAAATAAAATAAATACAAAAATACATAAATAAATAAAAGCCCAACCAGATGGAAGCCCTCGGCAGGGGAGACCAAACGGCCGAGGGTTAGGGGGAAAGGGAAAGAAACCGGCGGACGATGCGGGCAGTATCAAGGAGCACCGCCTTCTGCATTTGAGCCCGGAGCGGTCCGTCACGGAGTCCCATTCGCCTCAGATGACCAGAGAGGTTAACTGGGATTAGCCCATTCGCAGAGACGACTACAGGAATAATTTCGGTCGGCAGACCACCCCACATGTCGGTCACCTCGTGAGCCAGGTCCAGATATTTTGATTGCTTATCTGTTTCGGCTTTCACGAGGTTCTCGTCATACGGGATGGTAATATCGACCAAAAATATCCTTGACTGTGCCCGGTCCATCAGCACAATATCAGGCTTATTCGCAAGAATAGTCCTGTCTGTGATGATGGCCCGGTCCCGGTAGAGCCTGGCGCGGTCATTTTCGAGCACGGCTTCCGGCAAGTACTTGTAATACGGCAATTTCCGGTCCACGAGACCGTATTTCAGAGCGAGCTCCTGGTGTAGAATTCTGGCTACTAGGTTGTGCCTGTGCAAGTACTCAGAGTTAGAAAGCGCCGAACAACCGGAGATGACATGCCTAAGCGACTCACCGGGATGGCGACAAGCTCGACAGACGTCGACGGTGCCATCTTTAGGATGTATCTCCGATAGTTGTTGGTCTTAATAACCTGATCACCGAAGAGGTCACCGAAACGTAGCCAGTTGAGGGAGGCGACTGTATCTACGAAGGGCTCATGAAGAGCCCTGTAGTACCTCCCGTGGAGCTCCTTCTCCTTCCATACGGTCTCCCGGTCGGAAATGCTAAGCACTGCTGGGTCCTGCTATTGCTCGAGGGCTAAGGATAGAGGGGTAAGCCCTTTATCACTAGAAATGACGTCATTATAGAATGGATCATCCGATCTCGCCAGGAAGTAATGACGGAGGCTACACACTTCGCGATTATGCATGGTGAGCGCGCTCAGAAAACCACGCCCACCATGCTTACGCGGCAAGTACAGCCTCATTACCGACGATCTCGGATGATGCATCCTATGGGATGTCATGGTAGTGCGGACTTTTCTATCCAGGGCGTTAAGTTCGGTCTGAGTCCACCTGAGTATGTCAAAGGTATATATGAGGACAGGCATGACCCAACCGTTATATGCGTGTGTCTTATTCACACCGGACAAAAGGCTGTTAAGCACTTTGGTCAAGCGTGCATAAAACACGTCGCAAACTGACTGTTTCATACCAGCCTCA